CTGCTCGGCGCTGTGTGTTGGCTCATTCGTGGGTCCGCGTGCAGCTTTGTGGGCCTGTGCGGAGTGGTGGGTCTGTGTCCCGGGCGCAGTCGCGTGCGGGGAAGGGAACCAACTCCAAGTTCGGCTCCGCGGGTGCCGGACCTCTCTTGTCTCTGCGCGCGGATCTTGCGGGTGCGAGGTTGTTGATAGATTCCGCACCTTTCCCGAGCCTTGCACAGCCAGGCTCGGGCGCCCGTGTTCCCACACTCTCCTTCTACCCTCCCCCTTCCCGGACTCTGCGCTTGGCTGCCCCTCCCCACACACGCGGCTGTTTGTTTTTGTTAGGTTTGTCAATGTTGTCTTTGTTCGGGAGATTGTGTCATCGCCTAGATGCCGGGAATAAAGTGCGACCCTGTGTGTGATTAAGTGTGTAACGTGTGCGGCCGGGGTTAAGGGCGCCTCTGTCCATTAGTGCCTGTGGGAGGGAGGGACATTCGGGATCCTGGGCCCGCGAGGGGGTTCGCTCGTTTCTAGTGCGTCAAAGGGCACTAATGACTTGTGTGCGTGTGTGTGTGTGCCAACATACGTGTGTACCGTGCGAACAGGCTTTGAATATGGACTGTGAGAATCTGGGCCTGAAGGGTGACAAACTGTAACCACACATGTGCATCTGGCATGTGTAAATACGTGCGATGGGGTGCAAGTGTGAAAGCGTTTGTGAGTAGTATCACAGCCGCGTGTCGGGAAGCGTGTGAAACTTTACCGTACGTATGCTAATGTTTGTGAACAGCGTGTGAAGAGGAGAAACGTGCACAGGCGAACAGTGTATGGGGGCTGGGGGCTGGGGGCGGGCGAGGGGGATTTGTTGCATGGCGTCCTAGGCAGGGCGGCTGGGTCTGGCCCAGTTTGGGCAGGGTCTCCCAGTCAGTCAGGCCCCAGTACCCAGATCGACCCCCCCCCCCCCGCGCCATGTAAACAAACCCGCTGGAATTCGCCTCTCGGGGCTCCTCTCCCCCGCTGGGCTCTGCTGCCGTCTGGAGCGGGGTTGGCGGGTGGGTGTCTGCCTCCCAGCTCTCGGGGTGGAGAGGGAGGCAGGTGTTTGATTAGGCTCGCGTGCGCGCGCGCGTGTTTGTAGCAGGAGTGCCGAATGCTGCGTTTCTGCGTGCGTTTGGTAGTAGATGTGTGTGATTGTGTGGCTGTTTGCATGCGCGCCCGGGGTTGGTTTTGGGAGTCTGTGCGCACCCCGGGGCAGTCCTTCCACGCGGCTGCGCAACGCGGGAAGCCGCACACCCGGGGCTTCTGACAGGCTCGGGCCCAGCTTCCCAGGTTCCCAGGCTGTTTCATCCGCCTCTTTTAC